GTGAGTAGACTCTACACAACGACATATCTTTCTTTATTATAAGTACACACCAATAGAGCTACAGTCTCGTCATAGACTTCTGCTTTTCATCGTTTCTTTGCAAAGCCACCTGACAATTTAAAAAAGTACTTTTTATGTTATATATTTAAAAAAATTCTTTTATTTAATTTACCCATCAGTTACATTATTCACATTGCATGATAAATTATTTTAAGTGTAAATATTCCAAAAAGTGATAAGAGAACTCTGACATAATTCTGGAACCCCTGACGCAGGGGCCATGAATTACACACTTTTAGAAGAACCCTTGCTCGACATAACTATGCACTTAGTTTGTCTATTAAATACTCAGAATCGGAGATGATTTTAAAAGATTAATGTATTTTCATTATATGATTAATAGAGACCCGCTCTTTCAAATGAACCTCTGAGCCAGGGGCCATGAATTTCACAATTTTGGAAGAAGCAATCTTGCTTATTATAACCATGCACATTGTTAAATCCTAGGAATAAAGAACATTTTGAAAGAATTCTCTCTATATTCAGAGCCCGCCCAACTCCTAAACCCCTGATCTGAGGCAAGGAATTCCCCACTTTTGGAAGCAGCACCTTGGCTCATTATAATCATGCACTTTGTTTGCTTAAATACACAGGAAAAGACATTTTTAGAGAATGAATGCATTTTCACCATATGTCTAATAAAGCCCTGTTCTAACACCAGAACCCCTGACAAAGGGGCCGCCAATTTCACAGTTTCAGAAGAGGCACGCTTGCTCATCATATCTATGCACTTAGTTTGTCTGTTTAATATACAGGGGAGAGGAGATATTTCACCATATGGTGTATAGAGCTCCACCTTGACACCTGACCTCCTAAACCTTGGGCCATGATTTCATTTTTTTTGGTAGAGGGCTGAATGCTAATTACAGTCATGCGAACAGTTTGTATGCTTGATGTCCAGGAGTAGAGAGTTTTTTTAAGATTGCGTTCATTTTGATGGTTTTACCCCACTCCTCAGGTCACGGAAGGGAAAGGGCAGCAGGGACTATGAAAATGTTTTTATCCCCTTCACTTATACATGCTATTTGCCAAAATGAAATGAAATTCTTTCAGCGATTCCAGAGAAGAAACTGAAATAATGCTAACGCAGAAGGATAGACGAAAACAGACAGCAATAGGTCACCTAAATGACTAAGCTGACTGAATCGTATGATGCCTTTTTGAAATGGTGCTACACATCTAACAAAATATTTTTCAAGCCATTGCTTAATAAAATAAAAACTGTTACGTTAATTTTGCAGGCACATTCTCGACAAAAAGGTTGTTTTAGACATAAGTAAGTAATTTAATGACATTTTATCAGGTATAAAAGAGACAAAGGTAGATTTTATTCAACATAGTATTATAGTCATAAATCTACAACATAACGGATATAAGAAGAAAGTTTTAATTGTTTTGTTCTTTAATTGTTTAGTTTTGTTACCGAGTATGTGTAGTATGAGATGACTGGTTTATTTACAGTTTAAGAGTTATTTTCAAAACTCAAACAAATATACCCCATTTTTCGTGTCTTTGAAAGAATCTTAGATAGAAGGGAGATACGATATGATAATATCTAAGAAATGAAAACATATTTATCTGAATCGAATAAAAATCATCCACCGTAATTAGTTAAATTTCCATTGATAGGAACACTTTAAGTTCATTTGTTATCAGATAAAGTGTAATTATCATTTCCTGTTGGGACGTTTGCTTACCGTTTATCGTGATTCAGATGAGAGTTTGTTGCTTTTTAACATCTAGGTCTTTACGGACATCTAGACTTGTAGGTCACCCCGATATCCAAAATAACTTCCTAGAAGTGTGAAGTTAAATATAGAGGCTTTAACCTTGATATCTATGAAACAAAGGTTTAGTTCAAAGAAAATTTTCTGAGAATGCATTTTGTCTTGAGATTTTAAACGCCATCAAAGATTCGCCTTGATGTTAATGTGTCTAAAAGGGAAATGGATGGTAATTGAATTACTTAAATCCATGTTAGCAGTCTTTGTTCATTTACTTGGAATGCCTAATTGTGATTCCTTGAAAAAAAAAAACGATGTTAAAAGTTGTATGGTAGCATTTTGAATATAAACAAAGTGCTCTGCAATAATACTTTTGTACGATGAAAAGCCATGTACAACAGCGATGTAGAAAACCAAACTGAAGTCTCTTGACGAGTGATAACAACACGTAAGAATTCGTCAGATTATCATACCAAAGTAACGCACCTTGTAAAACACTGCAAGAAAGAATGTAATGTAATTTTGAATACTCATTTGAATCAAATAAATATTGCATCTCCACATACATGCAGGTTAAAAGCACCTCTTCCTTTACTCTAAACTTTTATTATAATTTGTTTAGTAAACAAATTATTCACTTATTATTAGGTTGATATATTTTTATGCCCCGGGATCGAAAGATCCCGGGGGTATATTGTTTTTGTCCTGTCTGTCTGTTTGTCTGTCTGTTGTCAACTTTAACCTAGCCCATAACTATTGCTCTGTCAAGGGTAAGGCTTTAATATTTGACATGAGTGTTCATGATGACAAGACCTTTCCATTGGTACATAAATTTTTGATCATGTGACCTCAACTGTGATCTTTGACCTACATTTGAAAAACTAACATTGGCCATAACTATTGCACTGTAGTCTACGTCCCACTCCAGAATTGTGTTACCATCGGGGGCATAGTGTTTCACAAACACATCTTGTTAGTTTAATTAATATGATTCCTCTAGTTTTGTGATTTTTTAAAAGAAAATCACTGAGGATTGGTTCCTTGTTTTCCCTTCTTACTTTGTGTACACATGTATGATAATACGAAAACAAGAAATCTAGTTCACCAATATTAAGGTTTTGCGAAAGGTCAACATGTCCAAAATTTTATTTTTACAATAGCTCCAAAACGATGTGGTTTATAAAGTTAAAACTTTTACAGTTTATAAATATATCATTGATTAACAGATAGAAAGTATCACTTGATAACAAATACTTGAGAAAATATTTATCGAGAAAAATTCTTTTTAAAAAATGCATATATTTTCAAAAAATACACCTAATTAATTCCGTACTTTTAGTGAAAGCCATTATTGCAGAAATAATATATGTTTATCAATGAAGGGCAAGTTGCACTTCGATAGCCTCTGGAAAGTTGTTTTCCCTGTTTGTTTGTTGTTGTTTTTTTTTTTGTTTTGTTTTTTGTTTTTTTTTCTTTGGTCCAAATGTTAGGATTTGAAACCGAAAGTACATTGCAAATGGCGGATTTTATAGGGGTCTTGTCTTTATACATGTCATGCTTTCAATAACAGCCTTTCAGAGACCATTCACGTCCAACTTGCCCTTCATTGATAAAAATATATTATTTCTGCAATGATTGTTTTCACTAAAAGTACTGAATTATGCAGGTGCGTTTTTTTAAATATGCAATTTTTTTTAATTTTTTTTTTTCTCAAAAAAAAATTTTTTTTTTAAATATTTGTTTTCAAGTGATACTTTCTATCTGTTAATCAATAATATATTTATAAAATGTAAAAGTTTTAACTTTATACCTCACTTAGTTTTGGAGCTATTTTAAAAATAAAATTTTGGACATCTTGACGTTTGGCAAAACCTTAAATTGTGAACTTAAAATAAGTGTTTGGTATAGTTTTTGTTTTGTTTGTACAAAGTACTTGTTTTTTTTTTTTACTCCACAGACATAGGTTGAATAGTTTGGTACCGTGACAAAGTAAGCATATGCTAGTAATTTGTTCGTTGTCTTGAAAATTGAGACCATCATATTTTTATGACAAAAAAACGTTTACGAATGCAGCATAAAACGTTGCGTCTCCTCGTCATACAGATGTGCCCATCGCCGTCCAATTTTATGCCACCTTATTGTCTGGCTCGTTTCGATTTTGACAATGTAGTATCGTCATACCGTTACAGTCATTTGTACGTGAATTCATGTGACTTACTGTGGCATAAATGTGTTAGCGAAGCTTTTTTTTATTAAGTACTTCACATTCAAGTCCTGCTCCCTCCGATACCGGTGGTTAACGGCAGTACCACACTGTGTTGTGTAAACAATGCAATGATCTCCTGGTGGCTTGTGGGAAACTGTTTAACGAGTTGTTTATCACTTTGAAATATTAGCATTATAGAATTATCTGTACTTGTAGTAATGCACAATAGTTCGAAATAGAACTATAGTTTTACAGCATTTTGGTATTTATAATTCAAGTACACGAGCATAAATCATGATTAAGTTCGATTTGCAGTTAAGAATTTTTCTTGACTGAACCAGTATTAAATCACCGTGTAAGGGTTCAAGCAATCTTTGTTTTCGAGAATTTAAAAAAAAAACTTAGGAAGTCTTATGGATAACAATATACACAGACACAAGCACTTCAAAAAAAGAAGCATCTTTGTAATGCATGTCTAAATCATGCACACTATTTTTTACGAGATCTTTCAAAGTAAAATGGTTTAATGTTAATTGGTGCAAAATATTTATCTGGACAATGAGAAGTTAAAGACAAACATGCTATTAGGCGTGTGGCATAATGAGCTTCCAGTACAAGCTACTGGTATAAGTGATCGCTACCAGAAAGCTACGAATTAGCAGACGATGACGGCGGCTGTAGGTGTGGGCGAATTGCAGCATGCTGGAATACTCTGACAGCGGGTCAACACACTTTACAAATTCTTATGTCCTACTTATTTATCTTGAAATTATTAATATCTACTGCACGGCATATGATTAAGAAGAATTATGTCGGGAAACAATTTACATGCCTGTATTGTATTCTTGTTTGTTTGTAATCTTCAGCAGGTGCAGTAAAAGAAAACAAATTATTCTGGAGTTCTTACAATCAATCTTCATTGTGTGTTAATTGATATAAAGTACTGTATTTCATAGCCAATTTACATAATTGTATTCCGTCTAGCTTGCATTGTCTGATTTTTATTTCAGACTACACATTGTGGCCTTTCTGGGTGGATAGAAAAGTTAATGTGGAGCCCCCTTTTAATAGAACGAGGTAAGGAGTTTTATAAAGCTCTTACACTCAAATCCTTTGTATAAATTAGCCTTGTTAATTCTGATACAAAAGTAGTGAACACAATTACACAGATCCTGAAATTTCACTGACAGGCACCACAGTTAGGGCTATAATTTTCTTGTTGCAAACAAGATCAAACTAACTTAATTCGAGACTATGGTCACTGCGCCATAGGTCTTCAACGACGACGTCACTATTCGTTCATGTCTTTGACAGAAAGTTCAATATATTTAAAAAAAAATAATTTTGTTGATTTATTTAGAGTTTCGGTGTTCCAATCAAGAACATGACATAGTTCTTCAGCAACAACAAATTTTACTTTTAGGGTATGACTTTTGGAAATAAATCTAATTCAATACTTGCATTTATTCTAGTTTTAAAAGGAAGGTCAGAGAACAATGTTAGCTGCAGAACTGTAGCTCTCAGGTAGAGAAAATTCTTACAGACAAACCAGAGAGCTACAAATCCAAGCATTGTAAAAACCTTTGGTTTACAACGACTCTTTTATATAGCTCACTTCAGTTATTATCTGTTATATTATACAAATTTACCTTTCAATGGTTCCAAACAACACTGCATGGCCTTGGCAGTTTTAAAAATGCGCATTCCGACATCCATAAAGACTACCGGAGTGTTGCTCTGCTGCTTTACAGGGGATATTATATTGATATATACTGTTCATGCAGTTAAATATTTTTTTTCGCAATTTCTATACTTGTTTCAAAGTATGAGCTCTTTGAATTGTTTTCTTACAAAAATCGAATAATTGCAATATCTGATACAGTTCATTTGTAAAGTGTCATGTTGTTTCAGAGATGGTAAAGTATTTGACGCCTGCAGTCGAGAGGTAAAAGCATTCCCAGACATTGATCCAATTTTACACAGACTTCATAATGAGGGTTACAAACTTGCTGTAGCTTCAGAGTAAGTTAAATGACCAGCATTCTTCTGGAAACATCTTCTCTCTAAACATTTGTCAAGTGAGTCTCATAAAAAATCCGCAAAATTGCATAACATCTTCATTTTTGAACGAGCCATTCCATTGCCATTAAGTTTTATTACACAAGGTTGCTTGAGCATATTGTATCAGTGAGGCAATAGGACAACTGTTGAAGTGTTTACATCTCAGTTAAGTTATGGATGCGGCTTTTGAGACATGCTTTATTTGTGCTTAGAGAGATGCCCCTTGTAGTCACGACATAAAAATCTAAAAGTACACCGTACACTCTTTATTTTAAACAAAAGACACTTGAATTATATAATACTAAGATTGCCAAATGTATAATTTGTTCTTTTAAATAAATGGCAAATGTTATGACGTAGCATTTAAACAAATTGTGACTGTTTAAAGAAAAGTTGAAACATGCAGTCACTGTAATGAATGTCGATGATGATTTTCCCGTGATTGATGAACTCGCATATGTTTGTGCAGAAAATGACTCAGAAACAGGTAGAGAAAGAAGTTGGATGCGAAACAGAGATGCGCTTTTATTCTCTGTAGTTAGGAGGAAAATACTTAAATATGTCTTAAAGCATTTACAATTTGCAGCAGCTTCTAAATATTTAACCAAATAACCGAGTTCCTGAAAGACAGTGCATGCACTTCAAGGATATAGGGATTATTTTTTTCTCATAAAAATGCGTTCGAAAATGCAATTTTAAAAGCCACATTTTCAAGCAAATCTTCATCCCCCCCCCCCCATAATACGGGTTCTTATGTTTTAATCTTTACTACAATGAATAAGAATCACCCCCTAAGTGAAAAGAACAGTTTTTTTTCTCGCTGAAGGTATATTTTTTTTCATAAGAACGTCCTTTTTTTCTCTAAGGTATATAGATCTGGTTTGGCCTTCAACTAATTTTTCAAGTTGCACCAACGGTAAAAACATTTGATAGTTAGATTTATAGGTACATGAAATTCTCAAAATACAGTATAATCCATACATGTACTTAATTAAGTCGTCAAAAAATTAAATCATAATCAGTCATTGATTAATATGATTTTCTGTTTGAAGGAAAGGTAACACAAGCGTGAAAAAACATCAACAAATCACTGTATGAATTATCGTGTATAGTAAGGACAAATAGGCTGCCTCAATTCTGGCATTGTTGTCTAAATACAAAAGGGTTTCTTGTTTTGTTGTGTACACAAAAGGGTTGACCAAAACAAGGAGATTGTCTTCACTCTTTTTGGGGTAACATGGTCAAAATGAATGTGAAACGGACTATATTCAAGATTTATAACTCTGACGATTGTTACGCAGAAGAAAACATGTCATATGTTTTGTGTGTGCATTGTTGTGCTTCTTCTATTATGATATATATATATATATATATATATATATATATATATATATATATATATATATATATATATATATATATATATATATATATATTTCTACAATTAAATGCACTAAATAGTTATCGTTTTCTTTATATTAAGCACGAAGAAAAACAAACAAGTGTAAAAGTTTAATCTGGATAAAATTAAGAAAGAAATAGATTTCACTTTAAAATTCTATTCAAAATTTCGCTTTAGAGTATTGTTTAATGTTGGTATGTAGGTGGAAAAGTAGTTTACCATTTTTACTGAATTGTTGAAATATAAGTCACCGCTGACAGCTACGTGAGGAGTACTTTGGAAACGCTAGAAATTGACATACTTAAAAAAAAATTAGTTCTCGCATCTGCTGTAAACAACTTCCGGTAGTAAGTTATCGTTCTTTACATCGAACCCTAGCGGCAGTTGAAAGGCCTACCCAGTGAAAGAGAAGTTTTAATTGAAATAAAACTAAGTCAATAAAAAGGGTTAAACATTGATATGACGTCATGTGAATTTATGAAAATAATGGACAGTATTTGTAAACTTATTGGACGGCTACAGGTAAGTTGAACTCCTAAAACACGAAACCGACACAAATAACTACCTTTAATCGATTACTTCAATATGTTTCACAAAATAATGACAGCTAAAATAATTTTGTTTTCTTTATTGCTCATTGTCATAATTTCCTTAATCATCAACACTGGGTATCTTTTTCATTATTCTTTTGGGTTTCTGCTCCGTTCGATAAATCCCTTCCCTTTATTCTTGAGTCAATTTTGAAATCCTTCTAGGTTCCCTTTGGTATTTTTATTTTTTGTCTGAATGACATTGACCAATAGCTAGAAATATCCGGTAAAAAAAAAACTTTACTCGAACTTTTTATTGAAATTTAGGGCTATAATATCTCCTTAATTACACACCAATGATATAAATTAAAATTTAGGAATTGTATGTGACATACAAGTAATATTTGCTTTTAATACAAAAAGAATATTTACAATTATTTTTATAAAATTTACTAGGATAGTGAAAACTTTAATACTATTGTTAACTGTTGTAAACTATAGTTTATTAATAATATTTTATTTGTAAGGGAAAGGCCCTCTAACAGTTCTCACAAAATTGGCAGTTTTCAGCCTATAACCACAAACATAAAACAGAACAAAAGATTATACCTCTTACAAACTGAAATTATTATTCCTGTTTAAACTTTTACATAAGAACGACTGACCCATTTTTTGCAGGTAAAACTTTGATTAAATTTAAATAAAAAAGTCCGCCGAAAATGCTTGAAATCAACCAAAAGTATCCATACTCTGTCTTATATTTCTATTTTTTCCATTTTTCTGTAGTAACTAGCCTTTTATACCTTTGATGATTACTGTTTTGTAATAACTGTACATGTACAACAAAAATCCCAGGTTATACCTCCATGACGTCCTTGGATCTCGTGTGAAATCTAAACTTTTTCAGAAATATAGGCCGCCGAGGGTGGGAGGGGTTCAGAGAAAATGTTTCCAATTAAGTGATAGTTTCTATAAACTTAAGCTAAATATATATGGATCAAGTTTGATGTAGGGGAGGGATATATAAACTCTGTGCCAAAAATGTTAATATGAATAATAAATGATCATTTTTGGTATATTTCGACAAGAGGGCACTTGACAATTCTTGGATAGGCGGCTTATCTCATGCTCCGATGTCTTTCATTACATGCATGTATAACTACAATTAAAACCAGTTTCACACCCCAAAGTATGATCTTCCAAGAATTTTCAACTGTTTCATCCAATCACGGACTATATGACTTTAAAATTTCCAATGCAACTCAAAAGATCTACATATTTAAAAGAATTTTTTAAAAAACATTACCCACTCATCCCGTTTCCATCTAAAGCATTGTTTTAGTTTTGCTCATAATTTTGGTTTATTTTTAGAGCTTTCAACAAAGAGGAGGTGAAACGCCTTGTGAATTTCTTTGGATGGAACAAATTCTTTGATTACATAGAAATCTACCCTGGATCCAAAATAACACATTTCCTAAAGTAAGGAATGTTAAATATTCTTTGTTTTACTATATTCAAATCCTAGGAAATAGTTATTATTAAGGACATACGCAACATACATTACCTACTGATAATTTTTCAAAATATTCTTAATTTAAGAGTATAGTGCCATAAGATGTTCGTAGACAAAAAATCAGCATGTATTACCAGGGGTTTTGAAAAGGTATCGGTTGATGAAAAATCTTGTATAATTCAAAGAAAAATATACAAAAATTACTAAACATATATTCTAGATGATTGTTTATCCAAACTTAGTTTAGAGGAAGTGTACAACAGCATATATAGACATTAAAATGTAGCACACATTTCCTTCAAGTATTGGAACTCTTCAACTCCAGGGAAAAAGACAATAAAGTTCAAACTACGTTGCATATGTCCATAATGCATTGGCAGTTATAAATCGTATTTTGTTTTAAATTGTGAAATAAAAGAATGCAAAGAATTAATGAAGATGGGCGAATAAACGAAGAAAAATGCCTATGGTTCGAAAAATAAGAAAGTGAAATTTTAAATGTTAATTAGTTTCTCACTTTCTTATTTGTCAAACCATGTTATGATAATAATTACGTATAACACAATTTTTTGATATTTCAGTTAACATGAATGTACTTTGAGTTAAATCTCCGAAATTTGCAACATATTTACAAGTATTTAAATCGTTCGTCTTTGAAATAACTTGCACACACCAAAGAGGACAAAAATGAGCATTTCTTCCACTATAACACAATTTTTCTATATAGGCGGGCTTTCGCTAAATGTTTTTTTTTTTTAATATCTATACTTATAAATTAATAAATTTTGCAAATAAACTCCGAAACGGGTGCACCAGAGTTCTTACATAGTCCTCTAAGAATACACTAGATACAAGATGATGTCCGTAAACTATATTTAGATTTCATTCGCATAGTAAGTATCGTACATTAAATCAAAAGTCCACTTTCATTTTCTATAAACAGCCATGAAATAGCAAAAACGTGAGTACGGTGGCGTTTACGGTTTGGCGGATCTAAGTTACTGGCAATTTTTAATGAGACTGACAACAAGCAATCGTATATTTATTTCATAAAACGTCATCACTAAATTATTCAATCAAAATTTGATTTAATTGATTTAAAAAAAATAAGTTGTGATAACCGATTAAAAGGGGAAATGTGCAAATTATTTTCGTAATTCACCGATCTTAATATTGACGGAAGCTTCTAGAACATCCTATAGCGTCGAACCCGATGTTTAAAAGAAAAAGAGGCGATTTTACCTGCATGAACATAAAAAAAGCTCTTGTGTGAATGGTCATTGAAATAATGGTATATCATTGATAACACTATAAGTTGTGAATATATTTATATATATCGAAAGACTATTACATATACAGTATGTACATGTAGTAGGTTTTCCTAATAAATTTATCGGTAAAATCTGTATATATTCCTCACTGAAAGCATCATGGTAACGAACCCGAAGTACAATTTGTACTTCGTAATAAACTTGCTTACATGAAAATAGAAAATTAATGAATAAGGTATTGTTCAAATACAATTAAAGCTGTAAAATTTTGTGCTTTATCTATACATTTCAGTTTTTTTTTCTGAATACAGTCTTTTGTATCAAAAACTCGGCCTATTCATAGGGCGTTAAAAGCTAATTTTTACACAGGTACTTGGGTCTTGGTTTATAAATATGTGTGTACCTTATTGATATGTAAAAAAAGTAAAGTACAATTTTTACATATCAATAAGGTACATACATATTTATAAACCAAGACCCATTTTTTACCCCCCCCCCCAATCAATTTATCTGTAAAACGTGCATATTCGCTGTGCTTTTATCCCTGACGGATATGAAATAAGAGCATCTGAAGTACAATATGTACATGTATAACATAGTATAACAGGTTTTACAATAAACGTCAATTAATGAAATTGTAATAATTCAAGTTTATTTAAAGTATTTACCAAAAGGGGGCGGGGTGGAGACGTACATATACTTCATGCGGGATTTTGAACAAAGTATTTCCTCCTGCTATAAGCCTGTAGGCTGTCAGTAGAAACTACAATATATTTTCTGTCGGTAGTGGTATATATTCAATTCTCCGCGCTTGCGCGGGATTTCAGCTAGTATATTCAAATGTTTAAATATAAAACATTTTTTGCTGAACAAAAACATGGAGCAAAGAGACCCACTCAACCTTAAAAATATGAGAAATATTTCAAGTTATTCAACGGTCATAACAAGAATTAAATGTTCTTACTTGATATTAGCTATGTTGTATAGTGTTTAGCGTGTCAGTATCTAAGACAAAAACCCGCTTCTCGGGATTTTTATTGCTTGGGTTCAAATCCCAAGAAATCCAAGTTGTTTTTTTTTTTTTACCATAGAATAATTTTTGCGGAGAGAATATTTCTGCACAAAGTTTTGTTTGTCATAATCTCATACCCTTCAATAATAACTTTAATTGCTTTGAAAACTTAGTTCATAACATGAATTTCATTTTTATACATTTAAAGCTATAGACATTTTGCATGCCTTGTTCGCCCATCTTCTTTCAGGAATAAATAAAATAAATAACATTTCGATAACTTGAACATGGAAATTTCAGTTCTACACAATTCAAATACTTTTCATTTTCTAACCATGAAAATTATTTTTTTAAAAAAGACAACACCTAAATATCGCTATGACCCTTCATTTTAATTATGGTCCAAGCATTTTCTTTTCAAACAAACCAAATATTGAAAAACACGGTTAATATACTGGCAAGCTTACATAAACTTTCATTATGTATAGATTAAATTGTGCAATCCTTAAATTACACATGAAGTGTTAGTATACAGGTATTTCTAATGTCAAATATCTGTAATGTCTGGTAAGAATTTACACGTCTTCCGAACTCATTCTTTAATTAGACAGTGAAATCATGTACAGCCGATTGTTTATATGAAGTAGAATTCCTGGGTTTTATCTGTGTTTAGACTTGGGGGGGGGGGGTGTTAATAATTTATTTCCTATTATTCTTCACATCTTCTCACTTCTCAACTGTTTACATATTTAGGAAATGTAAAAAAAACTATTTTTTTAATCTTTAGAACAAAATTGTATTTCAGTATTAAAAAGGACAGCGGTATTGCTTTTCCTGACATGATGTTTTTTGATGACGAGCGCGATCATCTTTCAGAAGTGGCACATACCTGTTTAGGTAACTTTTACAATTAACCTTACAATTTTTTGCAATACAATATTTATAATAAATATTCATTTTATATCTATCACATATTTATCCCTTTATCCTGGGTTTGTCAATAAATACTAGATAAACTTTTCATTTCTTACCATTTGTATTCCAACAAGTGTGATGTCATGGAATCAAATACATGTACATTAGTATACAAGGTAAATGTGGATGATCGAGGTAAAATTTTCATTTTTTAAAAGAAATTTAAAAAAAAAAAAAAGGCATACCTCGTAATACTGTATGCAGGGAAATTTTCGTCCCGTTCGCCCTACTCACATATGGGCGAATTAATTAAAAATGTATAATTTCTTAATTAGAACTGTGACTGGGCGAATTTAAAACGGGGCAAAATTGTTTGAAAGTGCGAAAATAACACGGGGCGAATATAACCCTTTATATTGTAATCAACAAAACTTCACTTTTAGGTCACCTGAATCACTCAGGTGACCTATTGCTATCTGTTTTCGTCCGTTGCCATGCGTCGTTCGTAAAATTTGGAACTTTTTCGGCTTCTTCTCTTGAACCACATAATAATTTTAAACAATTTTGGCACTGAGCAGCAACAGATGAAGGGGTACAACAATTATGATTTTCATGGTCCCTGTCCTCCTGGGGCCAGAGGGGCGGGGCTAAAATCATAACAAATATAGTGCTATCTGTGAAAATCTTCATCTTTACTCCTTGAGATCGCTTCTTGATCGGGAGGCCCTGGTTCGATTCTCGTTCACCGAGTAGTGACTGTTCCATAGCCAAGCGCCCGGCACTAGAAGTAAAATTCACAGGTCTTTCTGATGAGACCTTGAAAATCAAGGTCCCTTGTCAAGTTAGCACGATAAAGAACCCTCACTACTCAATGGCCCTGAGTGCCGAGTATAGCTCTAAATTTTAAGTCCTTCACCGGTATATGACTATATGTTGACGTCTCTATATGAGTGAAAAAATTCTCGAATGGGACGTAAACCAGCATACTAATCAATCAATCTTTTACTCCTCAAGCAGTCAAACTGTTGGGATAATTGTGATAAGTATCGAGTCCTTTACCTAAATTGTGAATTTCATGGCTCGAAAGTCAGGGTCTCTGGGGATGGGATCGGATTGATTATATTGTGAAAATGCATTATTTCTATGAAAACCCTTTTCTCTGCTTCTGGGTATTAAGCAAAGAAAACGAACAGTTATAATGAGCATGGATGCCTCTTCCTAAATTATGAATTTCATGGACCCTGGATCAAGGGTTTTGGTATTAAGACAGAGTTCTATTGATTAGTAAAAATGGATCAATTCTTTGAAAATCTTCTCAGTTCCTGGATATTATAGACTAACGAACCTAGTGCATATTTGTGTTGAGCAAGCGATCCTCTTCTAAAATTGTGAATCTCTCGGCCCATGGGTTAGAGGCTCTGACGTTAGAGCTGGGCTCTATTCTCGATTCTTTGAAAATCTTCTATGCTGTCGGGTATTTTACAGAAAAACTGGTGCATAGTTATGATGTGCAAGTGTGCCCCTTCTAAAATTATCAATTTAATGGTCCCTGGATCAGGGGTTCTGTTATGAGGGCGGGGCTCTGTTGAATCTCTAGTAAAAATGCATTAATTCTTCGAAAGTCTTCTTATCTGCTTCTGGGAATCAAGGAGACAAACAGTAAAAGTTGTAGTAAACAAGGGTATTTTCACATTTTGAAATTTTGAAATTCAGAACCATTTGGTCGAGTGTCCTGGTGCTGGCCAGGGCTCTTTTAATTTTTATTATATTGCGAGAAGTTACTCCCCTTTGCTTATCATAATCACTGTAAATAATGTAATTATGCCGCCCTTCGAAGAAGAGAGGGCATATTGCTTTGCTGCTGTCTGTCGGTCCACCCAGTTTCCGTTCATTTTCTTCGCAGAGGTTGCACGTACTGAAATGAAATTTGGTATACAAATTTATCATAAGAATATCTAGGTCAAGTTTTGTTTTGGGTACGATCGAGCAATTTTTGACAGAGTAATGCCCCTAGGACTTAGGAAAATTCCAATTATTTGCATGTCCGTTCATTTTCCTCGCAGAGGTTGCACATACTGAAATGAAATTTGGTATACAGATTTATCATAAGAATATCTAGGTCAATTTTGTTTTGAATACGATCGAGCAATTTTTGACAGAGTTATACCCCTTGGACTTAGAAAAATTCCAAATAATTGGGGGGGGGGGGGGGGATAGGTGTTTCACAAACATTTGTTGAAAGGTCATTAGCTGAAGAGAATAATGTAAGAATTTTTATAATATATAATACATAAAGTACATTCATAATTTTGACGTTAAGCAAGACATAAATAGTACATACAGGGTGTTTCAGAAAACATGCAACCATTTACTTTCCTCACTTTATTTATATGCAAACAGGAACATAATTATGAATGTTTTATATAAAATAATGCTAAAAAGGCAAAAATTAAGAAAAAATTTGGACAAAATTACCACTTGAATTAATTATGACGTCATATTTGACATCACTGGAAAAAACAGATAATTTCATTCTTAAGAACCCTCTATACACTGCACACTAGAGAGTTCTGATTTTGTGGTATTTTTATGCAGATAGAGTGATCTGCCCTTTGATCAAGAATAAAATAAATTGAAATGTAAAGTTTATTACTTGATTTGCGATCAATTCAAGCATTCAAAACACTTTAATAGGCCAAGATGAATAGATATAACACTTCATTTGCAGGTATTTTGCCCACTTAAGTAAACAACAGTGATTTATGCTCATCAGTACTTCATTGTCTTTGAACATTTTTCCTGGGGGTAAATGCAAGGCACCCTATGCTGAAAATTGATAGATAAGCTCAATACTTATACCTTTACACACCATAATTTTCTCAATGTCCAAAAAAATATTTTCCTCTAGTGTATAGAGGGTCCTTAATGTGGAATTCAATAAAAAGCAATCATCAAGAGTTCCGAGACTGCTTTACCAGAGCATTTCACCAGTTCCTGTGATTAGGACAATGGAAATAAGGTTTACAGAATGCAAAGAACTTACTAATAGTAATATAAAGTGGAAGTTGTATAAATCTGTAAAATTTTGCAGCTAATGGAAGAGTTAATGCATGATCAAGGAAATTTGAAGTAAAAAAAATTGAAGGAAAAGACAATTTGAACACATGAAAACATTTAGAATGTTACAAAAGAGGCATTGTTCCAGAAACTCACATGAAATCCTTTTGTAAAATAACTGAGTTTGTGAACAAATTGAGCAAGTCAAGTGTAGATCAGATGCTGAAATATGTTTTGAATCTTAAATCTTGGACTTGTAAGAACAAATGTTTGGAGGACCATTCAACTCTTTCAGATCCGTTAAAATGGGTCTCCACACTCACCTGACTTAACTCCCCTGGACTTTTATCTGTGGGGATATTTAAAGGTCAAAGTTTTTAAAATACACCCCCAAAAAACAAATGAACTCAAAATGGTTCGAAAAATGAGACCTGGCTCAAAGACCATAAACTGAGAACAGACTTAAGTCAAAATTTCATATCAATATAATTTTTAAAATAATTTTGGTAATGAAATAAATTTTTCTCCATGTGTATGAATTTTTGTAATATACACACCTGCAAAGTTTCATCCACACAAATTAATTAGAATTCAAGATATTTAAAATCAAAATTTTGACTTAAATCTGTTCTCAGTTTATGGTCTTGAGGCCTGATTCATTACCAAGAGACACTGCAATAGTAATGAGAACTTTCTTGCATCGGATTTATTCAGCAAAAATGAAGCCATTTAGAACATATTTTGTAACTAAGTGAAATTTTACAAGTTTCTTTTTTCTTTTGTAATTCATTATCTATTTGCCATATTAACTTTATTTTCGTAAGAGTAAATCTTGAGATTGTAACTTTTAATTTGATATGTTGGTGCATGGTATTGGTTGAAACACCAGTAAAATTTAATCAATCAAAATGGTTGCATGTTTTCTGAAACACCCTGTATTAAATAAAAGTGAAACCAGAATATCCTAGTATCTTTGTACAATACATGTAAATGTTCTTCCAAGACCAAAAGAGGTCATGAGAGAAAATGAGACGTGTTCACTTATAGTGCTCAAGCACCATTGTTTAGTGTAGTCTGTATGGTGATAGTGACAAATGGGGGCACGTCAGGCAAGTAAATAGATCTAATTTATAATTTGTTACTGAGTGTTACTAGACTAATAATTTTGTTTATCCTTGATCATCTAATTTCTCTTGCGTTTGGACAAAACAGCTTCGTCTATACTATGGATCCTTTCCAGTGTTGTTTTATACTCAGGTGACCGTTAAGGCCCTTTGGTTTCTTGTTGGTTTATATTGTTGATGTTACGTAGCGTAGGGCAACCGACGGGAAGTTAAGGTAAAAAACAGCTAAAATAGATTAAAATATGTCATAAAATGATTATCAAACCTTGTATGAATGAATATTAATATGATTTTGGTTCAGTCTTTGTGTTTTCATCATGTCGCCAAAGACCCGCGGAATTGGATTCATACTCACCAATCTGACATTGAAAATTAAGAACAGTAACAGACCATTGTCGATCGTATTTTTATATACAAAGTTAGTTTGTAGTTAGTTCCTAACAATTACATGTATCTCTTTAAACATACTTTTATTAAAAATCTATGGAGCAGAAACATGAGTTACGATTGCAACCTTTGAGAATAAAGATTATAATAGTAACACACTGTACATTTTAGTATTGTCAGTTTTTTGTTTTTTTTTTTGCAGTTTATGTGATACAATTTACACAGGTGTGCCAACATTTTTTTTCATGACTTGGGCTCAAAATTTATGCACTTCTTTATTATATTTAACAAAGCTACGTAAACATGTAAAAATAACAATTCATTTAAGTGCATTTTGCTCTCAATTTAATATCATTTTTTAAAATCATATTTTAGGTGTCACATGCATTTGGGCAAATCGAGGGGTTTCCGAAGAAATCTTGGATGAAGCTTTTCGCGCATATACAGAAAATCATAAGAATGAGGTGTCAGTTGGTATTCCGAACGGAAACAATAACAACAATGGCAGTGGGACTGGTACCAATACAAGTAGCAGCACCTTGTCTCTGAACAGCGTGGATTCAGATGAATCCCAATCAGAAACAACTGTTATTTATGTGCATCGTCGCCGTGGGTCGCGAGCCTCCATCACTTACGATGTCCCGCCAGTTATTGACAGAGCAATACGCCTACGCGGACGACGCATGTCTGCGCCTGCGCTGAGTATCCCACAATCCCTACAGGACAAAAAACTGATTTCTTGCCCCGAGATTGTAGAAAATTAGAGCGGCTTGAAATGGCAGTTTTGATGTTGAAGTGCTAATTTAGGTGTGAAAATAGATTATTAGAAAAAAGGTCTTGAGAAACCAATTGAAGGTAGTTTATGATCATTTATACATGTGTACAAGAACATGTTTTAAGCAGGTACAGTATTTATTCTATTATAATTAGGCTACGATTTTTTTTAATTAAGCATCTGATATTTTCAAATGCATCAAACAAAAGAATTCTCTGGATTAAAATCTGTGTATCATGTATTTCAGTAAGTATCGCCTCAGCAATGAAATCCTTAAATATGTGAAATTCATATGAACCCGTTTTTCATCTTGTAGTTCATACAGAGATTTGCCCACGTTGAACTTTTTCAGTTTAACTTAAATGACGCGGTTTCTCTTGCCATTTTCGTTAGAAAACATGTATTCATTTGAAACAGTTGATCATAATCAGACTATTAGTTATATACATCCTTGTAAAAGATTTTTTTCTTCCAGCCTGATCTGATTGGAATAAATTCCGAAGTAGCATTTTTAGCATTGTATTATGTATAATTAAAGACAATTGAGAATAGTTTTTTTTTACATACATGACATTGATCATGATGTATAATTGTCACGATATTATATTGAAATATAATAAAGTAACAGAATGATTCTAATTTCTCACGTACATTGTATTACTTACATGTATATACATAAAAACGATATTATAGCATTTCTGTTTTAAGTGTACTTAATTTCTAAAAGCTGTTAGCACTTCTATTTTTGCGTCTCTTCATTTCTTTAATAAATATGTGATTAATTATTCCAGTAGAAATCAGATCATGTCAATAAACAGTCTTTTGTACCTGGTAATTGTGATTTCAGGACGTAGGAATTATACGTACATGTAATATATGCTTTGTAATCTTTGATATTGTGTAGAGGGATTCATGCTCCCTGGGGACTTTTTTATACGTAACTATATATATCCATACAACAAGAAAGTCCACACGTGTTTGTATTCAGTTAATCTGCGAGAAACATGGACCTGAAGCAATTGTATTAATAACTTGTTAAAACTTCACTTAGTACATGTACATGTATGTATCAAATCAAGATATCAGTATTTTTGTTGTTGTCCTTTATTGTTTTGAGCAAATGAAAAAAAATATTAGGTTTTCATTTATGATTGTTTGATATGTATTCCAGAACAAAATGCAAAGAAACGGGCATTTTATGATATGGTTTACTATAAGACTTTGCAACAACTAGGTAAAAAAAATCTTCGTTAAAATGTTACTGAATCCCAAAAAGCAGACATGTATATTTTGCAACAGTCACCCATCTTAGTCTAAAATTGAAGTTTCACTTTTTTTGTCAAATTCAAGATCCACCTATCTACCTATTTCTTAATATCTACAGTAGTAATTAAGGATTTAACAGGAGATGCATTTGAAAATGAGGACAGAAAACTCAAACGTGCATGCTTGGGTTTCTTCACAAACACAGAAAAAAGATGTCACAAGAAAAGTTAACATTTACATCTATTATATTGACGGGTTCGAGGGCAGTATACATTTTGTCGGACCTAAGAACCAAACTGTTGACCTGAGACCGTTAGGCGTTTTTCGAGGGTACATGCGTATATCTTGTGCTGGCTTCCATGATGTAAATTTCCTTTACCTGCACTAAAAGTCGGTCAATTCTGTCACTGTCGAACACCAAAGAATGCAAAAGAGATTTAGCTGATCCCGCCCACAGTCTGACATAAGGGGTCCAGTATCTAATCGACAGGTTCAATTAAAAATCGATTTTTTATGACCGCTCAGTAAAACATTGGAAATGTTAGACTTTTTAAGTATTGGTTCCTACACGTATATAGGAACTTTTAGTCCAAGTGAAGTAAAGAAATTCATAATCAACTATTTTGCATTAACTATAAGATGCCCGCGTTAAATGCGAGAACCCAATAGGAATCACATTCAATTTGTCTGTCTGTTTGTCAAAACTCATTCTGACGCGGTAATTCTATTTTTAACGAACGCTTTCAGATCTTGTAAAGAAATATATTGCTCTTTACTGTCAGAGTAACACCAAAAAATTTGGGCTCATATCATTTGATCTGTTTGCCTGAATATATATATTCCAGACAGAATAACTAAAACAGTTTTTTTTTTAACTATTTCAAATTTTAAACCATACATGTAAGAGGAAGGTATCTGTTAATTTTTTAAGTCCTTTTTCCACCCATATGTCTGTCAACACTTTTATATTAAATGTGGCGTGACAAATCGAACAATTTTTACATATTTATTAGTGATTCCATGATACCTGCCTTATGTGCTTAAGGTAGTCCGTTCGTCAGTAGCCCTTTTCACAAAAAAAATCTTACGACTAAAATTAAAATTTTCCAATTCTTCTACATGTACCTAAATTGTATCTTTTATTTCTATTACATTACAGTATACTGTGAATTATTCTTCAAATATAATAATTTTCCTTATTAAAAAAAAAAGAAATTAAGAGTTGTTAAATTTTAATCTTAGTCGTAAGAATTTTTGTGAAGAAGGCTAAGTTTCTTAAAATCAGCAGTAAAGTAATTGGAATGCTCACAAAAATATCTCTGAGTTGACAAAGTAATGCGTATTTACCCATGGTATTTCTACAAAGTTCATCATAATAATTAATCATATTATATTAGGGAAAGTATCAAATTAGGAAATGCGAATAAAACACTAATTATGCATTTTCTAATTAAAAATTGATCAACAAGTACATGTGTATATTATATGATAAAAAATTAATGGGTACCCAGGCATTCAGAGAAAATTGAATATTTTTTATGCATATATGATATTTTAATTCTTCTATTTTCTTCAATTGTTTTATAATACATTGTGTTAAAAGCGTGTGTAATCATTGCAAGACATCACAGATCACTTCTAATTTCATATCATGCTAATAAGCATTGATATCTAAGGCTAGTTTAAAGGAAATTCGATTTCTAAACTGTGTTTATTTCGTACTTTTATGTGGTAAAAATGTCGACCTTTTCCATTTCCTAGGCTTAAAAGAGCCTTGAATAATGTTGAGATGCATGAAATGAAATTGTTGCTCGAAAAGATTTAAATATCAAGCTTCAGTTTCCGACTTTTAAAATTAAATAATAATTTTAAGAGTTATCGTTCCTGGCTGAGGAGCGGATATCCTTATTTTTGTACAAAACATTACTGTACTAAGTACAGTTGTCACTCCTTTGACAGCCCTTATCGGGGCCCTATCTGACGGAGTCAGTTTTCTAGTAAGATGTGGATTAACTTAAACAAAAGATATGAAAAGAATAGACATTTCATCGACGAAACAATAACCAAAGAAGCTGTGGGGAAATCTACCTCGCATCTTGCAATCTGAAATGTACTGAATGTTCAAGTACATTAACCAGTTGAATTACAAAGATATGAGCTCAAATTAAAATTCAGTATTTTCAAAAAGGTCATAGGTAAAGTTCAAGGAATTTTTAGAGGTGTCAAATTTTGAAGAACTCAGAAGACAGCTCATATACGACACATACAGGTGATGTGACCAACAAGTATGTCATGATTGATTCTATGTCATTGTCTTTCGTATAAGATTGCCCAACTAAGAAAAGCATTCTTTGGGTCACGACATTTTGATCCATGGAGCTTGTATGATATTTTTCACATTGAGCGCAAATGTGCCTCTTAACAAGATCTAGAGGTGTTACAACCTTTAGTCAATTAATTTATTTCCTCAAGATTCAGACCAAGGGAATTTGCAGAAAACTTTATTAGCAAGATTGCCGAGTTTTACAGCACGTGGCTCCTTTTCTTAGTTACCCCACCTGGGCATTAGTCCTTTTAGAACAGTTCTAGTTTTATTTCTAAGGCATGGTCAATTAAGTATTAATAATGATTGTTCTGGTAAATCCAAGGCGATAAATCCGAGGTAGGGCCTATACATTGTACAAGACGGAAATACCTTAGGATTTGAATACAAGCTCATTATCACATTAAAAAAGGATTTAAAGGGGCTGGGAACACAGACTTGAAGCTCAAATTTTCTAAATAATATCATGCCTTATATGTTGCTAGACCATCCCTTTCAAACCGAAGTATATTAAAAACGAGTTAAGAAAATTTTTTTATCAGGAAAATTATGATGACTACAATTTTCGGGACGCGTTAACGTTTGATTGACATATATCCTCGCTTTTTCATATTACTTAAGAAAAGTCGAAATTTTGTTGTGCATTAATGAAAAATATGAAAAATATAATCAAGAAAGTTCAGAGTAGAAATACAAGAAAGCAAAATCAACCCACCAGTGTTGTCAGTCCGTACTCAGTGATGTGCAGACCAAACAAATAAAACACACCCGGTAAAACGTAAACACTTATAATAATAGAGCTCATGCTCTGTTTACAAACACAGATGTTTGACGTGCTGTTTTGAAGAATGTTGTCATTGAATTCTAAGAATATTCATGTAAGTCCAAATCATTAAACTGAAATTATTTTTTTAATAAAAATAAACATTTAAAATTGTAAACAATGCAACTGTGTCCAAGCCCCTTTAATTTTCGCCCCAGCAATGAAACGTTTACCAATGTCTATAGGGACTTGTTTTTCTTATTACTTTGCTCATACAATTTTTTGTCCAGTTTGATTTTTTTCCAGTGTATCTTGAACGACTCTTTTTTTTTTTTTTTATTAATTAACATTTGACACGTATGGGTAGAACTGGTCATAATCAACTTTATTATATATTTAATTATCCTTGTAAAATAGTTTTCTTTTCTTTTAGGAATCATCATCCTTTCAGTCTGATTGAAAAAAAATGCGAAGGAGCATTTTAAGCATTGTGTCATTTCTAGAAAATTGAGAGGATAGTATTTCCACATGCATGACACTGATCACGAGAACTGTCTCGATATTTTTTTTAATAATGGGTTCAATAAAGAAGGCAAGGGAATGATTCTAATTTCTCACGTATAGTTTATATGTACATGTATAATGCATATACATAGAAAACGATTAGTTGTTAGCATATCTTTTTAAGGAATACTTAATTCCAATAAGTTGTTAGCACTTCTATTCTTGTGTGTTTAATTTCTTTAAAAACTGTCAATAATAAAACTTTTAATGAAATCAGTTCATGTCAATTACATGTGTATTAGCATTTTGTAGACATAGGGTTTTGTGCTCTATGATATTGTGTATCGAGGGATTCCTGCTTCCTGGGAATATCTTTATATGTAATAATACACATGTTTAATCATAGGACAAGAATGTCCATGTCTTTTCATTTGTAATGAGGTGTTTTATATATTCCAAAAAATTGCATGGAAGCATGGAAACTACCTGTCAAAGTTATAATTCATGCAGATACAACTAAGGAAAAGTAAATATCTACCAATACAATCTTTATCTGACTTCATAAAATTATCAAACTGAAACATAATTTCGTCAAACTTTTGGCCATCATAAATGGTTTTCCATCAAGGTGATTTAAGCAAGAGTTTTTTCCCCATGGCCGCACCGCCATATTGTAGGTCGACATCCCCAGATCCCTTCATTATTCAAATTGAATTTTTATGCTGGGCACTGAGGTGAAGATAACACCGTATTTCGTATGAATATACGTTTGTTAAAGCTTCTTTTAATTCATAATTTTTTCAATATTGTAAATATTTTTTACCATATATTTTTGGCATGCGTTTTTAAAATTGGTTGCTCAAAGAGGAAAATTCACTACTTTGACCTACAAGATGGCGGCCAAGGGGAATATCTCCGAGGAAAAATACGTCATAGGAAAACCATCTATTATATATTGCCTGCCTCTTAGTCATCACGAAAAAATTACTGCACTGTTTCATCAGTTAATAAACAAAAGGGGTAAGTTATGATATAAGACCCCATGTGACTGAGGACTTTTCGCCCGAGCTTTAAAAGACGAGCGCGCGCAAAATAAATAAATAAAATAAATCCCTTCCTATTTGCATCGAAAAAAAACCCTCATTTTGAAGTGACAAATTGTGTATTCAGAGTAAATTGTACTCACTGAGGAACTAGTAAATAAAAATACTACATGCATGTACAGGAATTAAGAA